ATAAAACTATCCAGATACACAAGCTTTCCGACTAATTCCATGGGTTTACCGACAGGAGTGAATGTAGATACACAATCCTACCAAAATTAACTTGCAATTTGACAGCACGCAGCACATACAATGCTTACGGACACTGATAGCCAACTCACTGAGTGCGATCTGACTGATTCACGTATTGGTTTGGGATAATGGAAAGAGGTGGCTGAGGTATAAGGTTTTCAGAATGTGAAAAAAATTCTCAGGAGCAACCTTCTCTAGTAGGAAACTCCAGAACACAGTCCTGTCCAACGAATCAAAAGTAACACTAAGATTAAAAAATATGATCGTTAGCCTGAAGTTCATGTACAGCGTTCAAGTAACTGGCGAAAGATGAATACGTGAGCTATGTATCCACGATATGAACGAAATCCAACCTGCTCCATGCAGACCTATTTCACATGCATTTTGTAGAGTCTGCAAATCAAGACAGCAGACAATATTTTAGATGCTACCAACACCAGACTGACACCCTGACGATAATCACATACATATAGACCTCTTTCAAGGTTAGGTATAATAAGAGATTCATTTCACACTGATGGTATGTTCGGCCTACTACAGCTTTTCAAATAATGTAGTCAGTTTCCTGACTGTAGTCTCACCTCCATGCTTTAAAAGAACCAGGGCTCGGTTGTCAGGACCGGGTGTCTTATGTCGCCACATAGCTTGGATTTTTTTACGAACCACTGCTTCGTTAGGCAGTTTGGTATTGACCGACCATGAAGCACAAAAAGGTAAAGTCGATTGTGTTGCAGCTGTGAGCCAGCTGAACAGTTGTCGAAGTGCTACGACCGATGTTCTAGGCGTCTATAAACGTTGGTGGTCAATGCACTATCTGTTTACTGAGGTGGAACAGCCTCTGAATGTTGCTATAGAAAGTTGCTGCTTCTATCTTATTCGCTCATTCTGACGACCAGGCAGTCCTTACGCAATCGCTGTACGACCTGTCAAGTAAGAGACTAAAGCATATCACTCTACTCACTGTGTACTGGAATACACCAACGAGCGTCAAGAAGTTGAAAGAGATACACTGTTTATCGGTGAGAGACTCTTTAAAGCCATAGGCAGCTCTACTCACCGTTTTCATGAAGTCTCATAAGTAAAACCAATGCCCATCAGTACTTTCTAGAGGTTTGATAACTATCACCGAACTCAGTTCCGCTTGGTATTTAGTGTCAATACTAGGTGTAATAAGTCTGCTTACATCAACCTGCATTAAACGACGATTTTGATGATCACCAAAACCCAAGACAAACTTAGCACACAGTAAAGATAAGTGGTACAAAAGGAGTACTAGTTATGAAAAAATTCACCCCACCGATAGCTGATTGCAATACGATCTATTTGAGTAGAAGCTTTAGAGGCTGAGTGATGCCAGATAGAAAAACGGCGATAAATGCGCCAAAGTCGTTGCTGACTAGAAATAAGTTTCGATCTGCGCACTTTTCGACCTGCAACCAAATAGTGTCCATCTGTTGCCTAAACGACCCTCCTCTGGGTGTGGAGTCCCCATCTCTGCATTCAAGTCAATAGTATTATTATATCCTTCAGTCGCATGTGGCACAAAATATCACCCATTCGGAGACAGAACTCATCTCTAATTGCATTCAAACTGCAGTCAATCAACATATAGGCAGAGAGGACGAACAGGCATCGATTTTCTTGTCAATCACTTTTCATATTAATCGAACTTTTTGGCTTAACAGAACACAAATGACCAGCGAAGTTTCGACTTTTGCACTTCACGGAACACCAACACTACCAAGGCCAGTTTCTGAAGCCACATGATCGCCGGGTAGGCGCACTGTGAATACAATTTCCGAGCTGACAAGTGCGAAGGTTTTTCGAAGCATTTCACTGAGATACAGTATACAGTTCTCTGAAATACAGCACACATCGAATTGAAGCCTTTTTGAATAATAACCGAACCTATCTGTTGTCCAATCTGCACCAAGATTTGAGCGTTTGGGATGACTAACTTGAACGGTGCGTGCGGTTTCAGAACGCTTAAGTTAGACATTGGAGAACAACTTTTCAAAAACAACCGTTTAGCGACTCAAGATGTTAAAGACAGGCCAGGTGGATGGAAAAAGGATGCACGTAAGGATAAATTTCAAAGTAATAACTAAAGAATGATACGACTCAGATGTAAAAATAATGGAATGAATGAGCAGATGGTTCGTTACAGAGTGAACGCTTTTTATTACAGGAAGATTTGGTGAATGCTGTTTATTCTTCATTTTTAATGTTATTGCTTAAGTTACTAAGACAATAAAAAGTGGATTTTAATGAGGCTGCTTCACCGCATGACCTCTTAGATAACACTTAAGCGTTCAAGGTTGGCGAATGCTGGATTTGACTTTGGGTCGGAATATGTTACATTAGGATAAGAGCACAATTTTTCGTGCATGATTTTATTGAAACAAACTCGGTACAATATATGTACCAAGAAATGGGTCACACATCGTAACATAACGATACTACGAGGTCAAAAAAGAGAAGGAATAGAACAAGAAAAGAGAAATATTTGACTGGACAGTCGGTTTTCCCAAAATGAATTCGGGAAAGATTGCATAACACTCTTCATATGAAAAAGGCATGCAAAAAACATGGTCACCACTGGTTAATTTCCGAACCATATCTTGTATCGTCTTAAACCACTGAGTAGTATGATCTCTTACTCTATCCAGGAAATCACGAGGCACCAACAGATCCCAATTCACATACAGATAACCTTCACCTAAGGGTACCATGTTATACATAGATCATCTCCACTTCTGCCGTCCAGTTTCGGAGTATAATCGTGTCCACTATGGTTGTGCAGATTCTTTAGAAAAGCTGAAGATCCTCACATTTCTTAACAACTAATCTTCCATGCAATCCTATGGAGACAGAAGTAGCCAAACACGATGTGGTCAAACATTTCTATCTCGGAGGGATCAAATTTCATAAGCCTGAATCAGAAATGCGCATAATGATGTGTTAGGCTAACGTTTTAACGGCCTAAAAAGTGTCCCGGATTGGTAAATACCACCTCGATTTTCAACATAATTCTCGTTCGCTACACTACCATTAACACAAACAAGTGCCCAGATATGTAAATTTTACGACTACCTCCAATGGTTTTGTAAAGTTGAAAACCATTCAGTGATATTGTGCACTTTTGTGTAGTAGGCAACCAGTCGCACCTATTTTTGAGAGCCAATGAAACTACCTGGCTGCCCAAACCTCGGTAGGTGAGGCGCTGTTTGAAAACGCAATACACTGGTCGAAAGTCAACTCTCTAAACCAATGAGACACGGCTCCAATGGTTTATTACCATAGACAAGTTGAGGTGAAGGCTCCTGCAAATTTTTTAAGGGCAGTAAACAACTTTCCCAAGGAAAAAATAGGTGATAATATACCTTCCCCCAACCTAAGGTATCATCTATAAGACTCTCCATGGACGATTCTTTCCATAAGAAAATTTCAATTAATCGAAGGTAGCTCAAGTGTTAGCATGAATAATGTTATTGGCCTGTAATAAGTATGACGATTTTCAAGCATCTGAAAACTTAGTCACTGCGTCTGTAATCCAGACAAAACCTGACCTTCTTTAAGGCATCAAGCTTCAGTGTGTTACGCAAAGCTGAAAAGTATGATGGTAGGGACGGGCGCAATAAAACACTGTTATCCCAATAATTGTCCTATGTTGTTCTTAAGCCAATTTTTAAGATGGGAACAGTGACCTTATTCGTAAGATGTAAAATACTATCAGCTTTTTGCACCTTACACAACCTAGTCCGTCACCTAGCTATTGTTTCGCTTCCATCCTCAAAAGAGTCAAAGGTAACTTTTCTGGGTCCGATATCCCATAGCACTGAGAGATCTTTCTGGACCTCCACTTGGTTAGGTGGGTTAGTGTTAAACAAATGTCGAGGTTAGGCGTAGGGTACTAGGCAAAGAAAGAAAGCCAGTTCATGAGGTTGTAGACATTCACAGACTGAGATGGACTGAACATGAATCACATATGCTGAGACCACCACCTACCTCAACATGCAACGTTATTCAAAATAGGATTAGTGGAAGGAAAGAAAGTTAAGGATAAACAGATCAAGATGTGACAGCGGTTCAAGAAGTCTCAGACTGTTAGGCCAAGTCGTGTAGGAAGGTAAAGGATACCTGGCTGGCATCCTGGAGATAACAGAAAGCAATGTTAGCAATCCCCTGGTAACATAGCTGGAAATCGATAACAATGACGTAGATGCATTCCCTCTTTGTTATCTTTGAAGTCTTGAACAGTTCTATAAGCATTCATGCATTTATTACATTACATTACATTTATTACATTGCATACATTTATTACATCTATTACATCTCACATACTTCAGTCTACTTTGATATCATTCTTTTCTCTCCACTTTTTTACGCTGCTATGAAGTGTAGCAACTAAAACTTAGACACTTCTGTGTCAGGTATACGCCGATTTCTCTACCTGCCTATCTATTATTCTGTTTATCTGAGGAAGATTACGGTTACACATGATGAAGTGCTTAACTTGCGAATGAAATAAAAGTTTAGTGCATAAATGCTTATCCATGAGGAACTGATCGGACAATCTTCAAACTGCCTTTAAATCTTATGGAACATTCCTAAAACCTATATGGCTTTTTCCTCAATATTCAATTGTGGTTTTAGAGTTCACCTAAAAAGCGACATGGTGAAAAGTGTAGGCATCATGTTGATGACCGTATTCGATATAATAAAATATTAAACGAAGTCGTCAGTCACAGGCACCACGTAGGAAAGACACAGACACCAAACAACCAGTAAACTGATTGATGCAGATGATAGGCTTTTATCTAGTAATTAAAAAGTGTGTACATAGTTTCGTTGACTAATGTTAAGACATTTCAATAATTACCAAATAAGAGATGTGACATGTTATACTGTAAATGTATATAAATAAGAGATCAACTCACGTTTGACTGATATTTGAAATGGTCTGCTTAAAAGTGAACCGAAATCAGTGTTAGCACGACAGTAAGTCTTCTCACCAGAAAACTGTTCAGCGACAGAAACATTTGAAAAACAAAGACAATGGAGTGGATACGACTTATTTCCATAACGCGTATGATGATCGCACATGAAATTGGAAGGCACATGATATATACCTTTCTGGTGCATATTTGTGATTTCTGTGTACACTTGGTCAGACATATTCACTGGAGTCGATTGAGGAAAATGATATGTTGAGTAATATGATACACGACCTATAGGTCGTTTTGGCCAGGTATCACAACAAATTTCAAGCATTTCTCCTACATGATTATCGGCATAATAAATAGTTGGTTCAATAATAGACTGGAATTCAGGTAGAACTATAATCAAACAAAAAGGATGAGTTGGAAATATATCACTAAAAACTGAAATGAGTGGAGTTTGTACACTTGACCTGCTTAGTGGAAAGTTCAGTGTTAAAACTGACACTGCACAGATGCAACCCAAGATTAAACATTTTATCAATACATTTATAATTCCCATTGTGACATTAAAGAAAAAGATACTCAGGAAAGAGGACTTTTTTCAACGGATTTATTCTCAAGCTGTACATTATATATATATATATATATATATATATATATATATATATATATATATATATACACGAGAACATATTCCTGCCTTGTTTTATGAGTGAAATGCATCAGAAGTACTGTCCTTGAACACATAATCGATTCTAACTATTCAACCGACCCCAACAATGATTTTAGGGTTGTCTATCGAATTCGCTCAAACATCTCACGTTTTCTTCATGTTCAAATTATAAAAGCAGAAAAGGCCTTGGCTGTCCATGAACTGAATCCTGACCTTGGTGTGAAAAAGAAGAATGTACAGTCTTTGGCCTAAACTTATTTCGGTCTTCGTTACTTTTCTGGTGTTGAAATGATAGAAAATATTTGTAGCTCAGGAGGACAATTCTGATGGTGTTGTGTTATCTGTTATGCAGACCAAAAGATACAAGAGTAAAGGAAGACAAACTAAACGTTATCTACAAAATAAACTGCAGAAACTGCGAAAAACACTACATCGGACAGCATCGTCGCCCTCTACATCAACTAGCAGTGAAGTGTCATGACACATCTTCGCTCATACCAATGCATGCAGACAACTGTGAACATGAATTTGAGTGAGAAAATGTAAAAATCCTGTATAGAGGGAATTTGAAGAATGACAGAATTTTTAGAACCTGGTCATCACGACAACCAATCAAAACAAACATGAAGAGAACGACAGGACCTTGGCAGAAACAATCAATCACACTCAAGGTCACCAGAACAAGTCACTAAATAAATTGCAGATTCAACCTTATCATTTACTTCTTTCTGAAGTTTGTGATGATGGTGTTGTCTAGGTATGACAACGAAAGCTCCACGATTAAACAATACAGCTTAGAAAACACAACACCATCAGACATTTCTGGTGTTACTTTATTTGATCTTCTTAATAACTGCAACTTTCCAAAAAAACATTTTCAATTCATTCCAATTTATTCAATTTATTCCAGTCTCATTTATATTACCTAATTCTTTGATTGTTTATTAATTCTATCACGTTTTCACCTGTTTGTAATCTATATGCCCCTTATAAACGATTTGAAAATCTTATGTAACCCTTTTTGTTGTCATTTAACCTCTACATCATCAACTAGCAACATTATTATAATTATCATCACCAATCTTTAAATATATGAATGTACAGCTTGAGAATAAATCCTCTGAAAAGAGTCGTTTTCGCTAAATATCTTGTTTTTAATAAACATTCTAAGCGTATACATGCGATGCAATGAATAGAAAGTAGAAATAATTCAACTCAACGTGGTATGTATATTATTTACTAAACTATGACCCATACGTTGCGCATCAGTGACAGCTACTTATATATATATACACATATATATAAGTAGTATATGTGGCAACGTCGAAAGTGATAACAATCAGCTGGTGAGGAATCATGCGAAAGAATATACAACATTGGACTGAAATACAAAGTACGAGAACTGTACAGAATGACATACAAAACAAAAGATTATTTGCAAATGGATAGCCCATTGGTAGGCCTAGTTTTTCCACCATTAAGTGTAAGTAGAGGATTCTAGTAGTAACAACGTGAAAGACATACCGTCGGTACGATTTATTTGGAAGGTAAAAAATTGAGGATGTCTTCTATCGTGATAAACTTTACTACTAACACATAACATGAAACGATTAGTTTGCAGTAGCAACGGAAAGCGTTTATCGCTCTGATATATATATATATATATATATATATATATATATATATATAAACCAATCAATACATGTTGCTAAGGTAAACAAATATACACATGCAGATATATAATACACAAATAAAAATGACCAGCGATGAGTCAAATAAAAGTGAAAAAGATAGGCATCACAGAAAAATGCATAGAGGCAATTATTGTTGTCATTACGATTATTATAAATATTACCATACGAACAAAGACAGCGTGCATGTCTCACAGAAGTATAAGCAATAAAAATAAATAAACTAGCAAATGCAGAGCTCTATACGTGTGTGTGATTACAGACAGGTACATAGGTTTTTCCATACACACACGTACATCGCCGTACATATATATATATATACAAGAAAAAAGTGAATAAGAGAGAGAGATAGGAAAAGCTACTGAAATGAAGAAAAACTAGAAAGTCAAAAAAACAAAATCGATCAAAAAGTTTTCCCACTTCATTTTTTAACTAGCGTCTGTGATATACACATATATGCATGCATCCTAGTCATGACACTATGATGATAACGATAATAGAATGGAATTTCCAAGTGAAACTAACTCATAGATATAATTATCATTATTTATTTTGTGCAAATATCATAAATCGATATCAGTAAAACTATTACTGAAAAATCAAGAAATACATAACAGTCGTTCTAGGATATATCAGTAGAACACACTGACGATTACCCATGGAGTTGGATGCGATACTGTTAGATTTCTAGTTTTTGAACCACTAGGCTTTTAACCATACAAACTGAGCATTTTCAACTTGAAATAACTTGTGAATACAATTTCAAAATATCCTTTTTTATCTGGTTAAGCGAGTGAGTGGTCAGCAGTGCGGTCACGGACGCGCGTTTCGTTTTATTTAGAACTCATCAACTAGATGTCCCTGCACCCCAGTTAGTCAGAGGTCGAGCAATTTGACCCAATATAGCAACGGAGAATCACAAGGAACTACAATAAACAATAAAAACTGATATCCGCTCTCTGAATGCCTCAGCGGCCTAGTCGATAACGTTTAGGGGTTCGAAGTGACTGGTAATGGGTTCGAGCCCCAGTGGGAATATCATTTACCAGGATGCAAGTACATCCAGCTCACATGTCCCAAATGGGAAGAAACCCCCATACTGGGTCTCACTGCTAGCAGACGACTAGATTATAATATAATGAATATTTAGGCAGTACCAAGGTATCCGCATAAAAGAGCCCATCTACCAACAGAGATCGAGCAATTTCATCCAGCATAACAACGGAAAATTGCGAGTACCAACAAGTAAATCATCTTGATATTATTGTTAGTTGCAAATAAACAATATATCATTATCTGAGGATCTTTGTTTTCAAGGGAATCTATAATGTAATTGGCTTTTGCACCAATGTGTTTGATTCGCATTCAGACTGTGAATTTCGCAAGGACATGTTTCGATTCTAAGATAGAATCACTCACATGAGTCTACATAGCTGAAAAATATCCTGTTTTTGCCACTAGAAAATAATTATGGATTTTCGCATAAATTTAAGTAATTTTATCCCCTTAAAATTCGTAAACAACCCGCGCTAAAGTTGGTTTTATGAATCCCCTTCAAGCTAAAGAAAAAATTAAGCATTATCGAATATTTAATTCCGTTAGGTAAATTAGGTTAAGCATAATCTGCGAGATGGATTCTGTTCACACACACATACATTCATATATACCGACTAAACACTGAATGACTGACGAAATCAACGTAGAACCTTATACAGGAGTGCATCGGCTCAAGTTGCCACATATCATAGAAGTATACACAGAAGAGGTGGATAGAAACAGTGACATCAAAATAAATACAGTAGTGTGAGAGAATAAACAATCAGAAGATAAAACTTAGTGCACAAAGTCAAGCTTTAGAAGACATCAAAGCACGAATACGTCTGCATCATTGTGACCAACTTTCAGCCATTTCATGAAGAGTCCTTAACCACTGACTGCTAACATCTCGGGGATCCTACACAATCAATTTACATCCCCTCTACACAGCCCAAGTCAACAGTTAGGGACTTTACCGACTGATGCCACGTCTTGGTCTGGTCATCCAGAACCCTTTTCTATCCCAATCCGACTTCCTCCAACATGATACATCCAGATAGACGGTGACTCGGTATACAAAATACACATACAAGCCATCATTGCACGTAATGTACGCCATTAACAGAGAATATCTTCAAATAGCCCACTCATCATCGGCCATAATAATATGGTGAATTCAAATGACAAGTGTGCGGATAACAATTTAACGAATTGATTTCTGAAAATCAAGCCACTGAGTCATAAACATATTCACTAAAATACGGGGGAATAGATATGTTTGAAAAAATGATTCTTTCAACCGACAACATCTTGATTATTATCCAAAAAGAATAAATCGAACTAACAGATGAAAACATTGACTTACCAAAAGTTTCACAGTAGTTCAAAATCCACATTATAGTCCAAAACGAAGACACATGGATATCAAGAACACTCAACGCAGAAATGACCGCCATGATCACCAGCCTTTGAAGATCCCAACATAAAAAGAAGGGAAAAGAAATAAGCAATTTTTTTCGACCGCCGAAGCTTACACTTAAATACGTCAATGTGATCAAATTACCAATTGAAAAGTAAAGTATAAGAAGATTTTTAAAAAACTTATTTAGAAATTTGAAATGCGTTCTCTATTTTAGCTAAAAACCAGACAAAACGTCGCATATAAAAACGCATATTTTAAATCATGAAGAGGGTTGGTGATATTTGAATCTGAACCGTATAGTACATGAACTTTGTTTTTGTAAATTAAGGGAACTGCACCTAGAAGCATGCATAAATTGTAAAACTGAAAAATACTACACTTCAAATCAGGATATATCACTCCGTTACATCTACTTTGACCTGACCAATTGTGCAGTATTATAAGCATTCAGAATAACTGTGGCTCATAGCTTAGCACATATGCCTGTGCCAAGTTGAGTTGCATCGTTTCATGACTTATATTTAGTCAACAGAAATTCCGAATGTCTAAACAACCTAAGATAGGTTTATTACAAGGTAAATGAACCGAGAAAAGACAAGAGGTTACTGAATGAAAGACCTTTGCATGTACTAGAAAAGCGTGGTTACATATGATTAAGCATATTTAAATACTTACAAAAATAACCACGTAACCAGAATTCCTCAATATGAGGACAGCACTCAACAAGGCAGACAAATTACTAGAGATTGTCAGATTTGCCAGCTCTTCATAACTTTGATATCAAGGTTTCTGGAGATAGTTTTGAATGAAACACAGGACAGTGGCACTATATTTCATAGTACCATGAGAAAAACGATTAAATCCTAAACAAACGGTTGAAATAATCCTACTGTACAACAACATACACACTGTTCAAACCACAATTGATTACATTCACCATCTGTAAGCATAATGCGTGCTCTCAACCCAAAAATTATGAAGTTGATTTGGAAAACTAGCACGGGTTTATGCCCGTACCCCAAAAGTCGCGATATTTTGTGCTGAAGAATGAAATGAAATTGACAAAATCAAACTTTGTGTGGAAAAATGTAGACTTGTATTCACATATGAGGCCTATTTATCAATATCCAAACCAAGTTTGGACCTGATGCTTTATCGACCCAAAGTAGAGTATGTAAAGCCTTTGAAAAATCCTTTCTCATAGCCTGTTACAGTGTATAGATGTTCGACATTGCTACCACTGTATTACTGAGAGCGCTTGGTGTTAACATCCAGTAAGACTGAAGCCCATCAATATCCAGAAGAGATAGTCCTCTTCAAGTAAAGCTGTTGCAATAACTCCGAAACCTGATTGAATTTCATAAATTTTATCGCAGCTATTTCTACACTAGACATTACACGTTAACATTCAAATTGGTCAAAAATAGCTGGGTAACGGTCAGTTTGCAAAACATCGTAGAATACTTGCGTTAGTTTAGTACATGCTAATATATCCCACACCTAAGGATGAGTTTTTAGCAATCACTTAACTCAATGGCTTCAGATACTTTCAGAGAAGACTTAGAAATGGGATAAGTAGTTACCAAGTTGCAGTTTTCTTTTTTCTTGTATCACGATAACAACACAACTGCAGTCACTGAAGGCTTTTGAATGCTTCATTAGTGTCTTTCTTTTTCTTCTCCTATACACTTTGCCAACTTTAAAGTCATTCCCCTTTTGCTCACCTCGTCGTTTTATGCTACGTGTGACAACTGATGTACTTCTGCACAAAAGTGAAGTTAATTTATCTCTTTTGTTTGATTCACTTTTCGTCTTTTCTAATAACTTTCCACTGTTCCTTCATAATAGCATAATTTTGACAAACTAGTGTGTTTTGCACCTTTGAGTATCAATAGTGTATGAACATGAATAGAGTATTTTTTAAATAAACATCATATTATGAATATAGGACGTGACCAAAAAGTGCTAATATCACTAGTTTGGTTACAGGAGTAGCTCTACAGGCACTGACCTTGTCATAGGAGACACCTTGGTTGACCCTGAGTGATTGAAAAAAGCAATAAAGGACCTCGCACACAGGTGTATCGACTCAAGTTGCCACACTTCACAGTAGTACACGAAGAACGGGAGGATAAAAAGTGATAAAGTAAACACAGAAGTGTGAGAGAATAAACAATCAGAAGATAAAACTTAGTGCACAAAGTCAAGCTTCAGAAACCGTCAAAGAGTGAATACATCTGCATCATTGTGACCGATTTTCAGCCACTTCATGAAGAGTCCTTAACCACTGACTCCCATCGTCTCTGCGCCTCCAAATAAGAAGTTTAGGTCTCTCCAACACGGCTCAGACCAACAGTCTAAAACTTCATCGACAAAGGCTATGTCTTAGTCTGTCTGCGGCTCAGTGGTTTAAGAGAATAACTATCAACTAGTGGGTCATGGGCAGTCAGGTAGTATCACTACCCCACACAGTAAGTGTGGATCATTAACCTACTGCATATATGTGCGCAAGGTGGCTGAGTACGTTTCGTTAGTTTTTGGTCTGGTCAACCCAATACAACCTCCCGCAGCATGGCACATAGACGTAAGCAGTGGCTTGGCATGTGAAGTACATATCCTAACCATCTCACAACCTTGTTAATAAACCTGCCCGTCTTACCTAGTACTTTTCACCTGACTTTAAACATTAATTACACGATGATTCCACCAAACGCAGGCAATGCTATGAAGAAACCGATGGTTAAAACACTGTAACCACTTTATGTCTCCTACCTTTAACGGCCATGTTTCATAGCAGCATAACAGAACAGAAGAGGTTGCAGCGCAGTTCTTGATAGATAGTCGGATATATCGTCAATCAGCGCCACAGGTGATTCAAGTTGGCAAACACCAAACAGGACTTCTCTATCCGAGTTGAGATTTCACCAGCAACCAGGTTGATACCACTCCCCAAGTGAGTGAAGTGGTTGACACATTGCACCACTTCACTCTCTATCACTAAACTAGGAGTGATTTCAAACCTGTTCTGCAGCATCATTTTACATTTGACAGGTGCAAGCGAGGTGCAGGTCAAACATACTTAAATTTCTGCTCAACGCGTTCACAAGACCTTGTATTTCGTCAGCGTTTTTACTCAACAGAACAACATCATTTCCACACTCCAAGTCAACTAGATGCCGTCCAGGGAGTAGATCAATCCCTGTGAAGTCAGATGTAACTAAGGTTATGTCCATTAGTACGTCTGTGACGAAGTTAAATAGGAATGATGACACTGGACATCCCTGGCGAACACAACTAGTTGTCGTCAATCCACATGACAACTCTCCATAAGCCAGCTCTTACGCGACTGCATGAATTCTAGTAGAGAGCTTTAATTAGCGCTATATGCTTGCTCTGTACTCTCTTTATAGCAAGACACTGTGATAACACCTAACGGTCGACTATGTCAAATGCCGCCATCAAGTCAAGAAATATGAAAAGTCGATACGAAACGCACTCAGCCACCTTAAGCATGCCTGAACAGTAGGCAATGAGTCACACCTTTTGTGTGAGTGCTAGTGATACTTCCTGATAGGTGGAGCAGAGTCTTAACACGTGACCCACTGGTTGACAGTCATCTCCCTAAACCAATAAGCCACAGCTCTATATTCAGATGATCAGTAAAGTACACCAGTCTGACGGCACTAACTTTGATTCCCACACACTATCCTGTACCTCCATCAATGTCGTCAGAAATTCTCTATCTTTATCCATGAAAACTTCAGGTGGTAAACCATCAGGTCCTGCTGCTTTCCATCATTTCAGGTTCGATACAGCTTTCTCAACTTCAACGAGAGTTGGAGGATCGAAATCTAAGGCCCATTCAATTTCAGGCTGTGTTGTTGAGGGCCAGTTGAACTGTGCTTCAAAATGTTTTGTCCAACGACTAGCCGCCTGTCCTGGGAGGTTATCAGCGTCCCATCCTTTTCGGTGATGATTTCACTCACCATCGTCTTCTTCTTGCCAGTATATTTAATAAGCCTAATTAGTCGCCAAGCGTTACCCAACGCTGATGCCTTCTTCATCTCTATCGCTTTCATCGTCCGCTACTGCTCGCGATCGACACACAAAGACCCTTGGCCAATTCATGTTTGCGTCGCTTTCGCTCTTCGTCGTGGTCAGAGCCAGATAGAGTTGGCCTTCTCAAATCAATCGGTTCAGATGATGACACGGAAACCCAATGACGTTTTCTCACCTTAGAGTGTAGGTTACCAATTGTCTTTACTGCTGTTTCTACAGCACATTTAATATCACGCCAGGTTTCCTCAGTATGAGGATTGCTGTCAGGTTCAGACAAACGTTTAGCTGACTCCTCCAAAAATGCGTACTATGCATCGTCATCTACCAATCGAGAACAGATAAGCTATATTGTCTTATGTTTTCTACGACCCATAAGGCTCAGACACACACGAGCCTGCGCTGCCACATGATAGGAGTCCAAACAGGTACTCCTGAAACAGCGGCAATCCTCCACCGATCATCTCTAACCATGGCTTATAGCAATGTAATCTATTTATGTCCATCATTGACCTGATGTCGGTGGATGCCATATGACACAATGTCTCTCCTTATTCCCCAACGTTAGTGCTGGACAGAAACAAGTGTCTGTCAGGACAAAACTGCAACAGATAATCACCGTTTTCGGTTCTTTGAAATGGGATTTCGCAAAAACCCCCAAGATGCCTTTCTGACTGGCTTAGCTCAGCTTCCCTACTTCAATGTTAAAGTTACTTGTCATTATGACTACATCTAAACGTTTTATTTTCTGTAACAAAATTGACAAATCATAGAATCCATGCTTTGCATCATTCGAACTGCAGTTGGTGAGTGCATAGGCGGAGATTACGAACAGGCACCGACTAGTCTCATGATCCTTACTAGTCTTTACAGATGTATTCAGTCGAACAGTATAAAGATGGTTGTTTACTGGTATCCAGTGGAGAAGCGCACTTTCTGTCCTACAGCTCAATGCTGTGCCTACACCAGCAAGTCCACGAGAGCTAGC